CACACACACACTCTCTCTCTCACACACACACACACACTCAGACACACACACGCTCTCTCTCACACACACACACACTCAAAGACACACACACACACACACACACACACACACATGCATGCAGCGATTGTTTAAATGAGAGGCAATCGGACGGTGAACAAGTGTGGAACGATGGCTAATCGAACAGTAATGACGCCTTTGATCAGCGCCGTCTCAAATGCACATCAATATTTCTGAGTGCAAACGGCAGACTATTATGTTTAATGCCTGCAGGAAAAATAAATCGGTGGAAGATGAAAGCCAAATGAAACGGCAGATATCTGTGATTCTGCACATGCAAATGAAGGACACATTTGCTTTTACGGCTAAGAAGTCATCAATACATCTATTCAGTCTGTTCAAACATGAAAAATGTAAAGTATTATTTTTTAAAGAAATTATTAGTTTTATTCCTCAAGGATGCATTATATTGCTCAAAAGTGGCAGCAAAGACATTTATAGTGTTACAAAAAAATTATATTTTAAATAAATGCTGTTCTTTTCAAAAAAGCAGATACGTCCTTTCAAATTAGTTAACAGCAGTAGGCTGTCTAACATACTGCTAACACCGTACTGTGCACTGTATACTGCATACAGCATGCAAATATAAATATTACAGTATTAAATGCAGATAAACAGCATTATACTGCTATTTTTGTAAATTCACACCGTGCATGATAATATATTGCATAATGCATTTGTTGTCATACGTTGCATGCTTATTTCAGTGTTTAGTATCAAGATACGAATATAGTTTTAGTTTTTATGTCCATATTGTTATTACATTTTATTTTATTTTTAGTTTGTTATTTTAGTACGTTAAGTACTTAAACAAATGAGACATTTTGCTTTGGTAACTAGCTGAATTCAGTTATTTTAGTGTCACTGATATATTATTATAGTTTTTATTATTTTAAGTTAGATTTATTTATTTTCTTTCTGTTTTCACTATCATTTAGTTCAGGTTTGAGTCATTTTGTTGTGTGTTTTTGTTATTTTATTAGTTTTTTGTGTCTATATAGTATTTTTTTGTTTTAGTTTATCTTTAGTTAAATTTGTTTTATTATTCTTTTTTTTTTAAGTTTTTTTTTATTACTTCAAGTTAAACTAAACAAAAATTTGAAATGTTGCATTTGCAACGATCTGAAATAAATTTTGTTTGTTTTAAGTTTTAATATTTAATCAAATAAATAACAAAAAAAAAACAGTAAAAAAAGTTTACAGTAAAAATCCTATCTGAAGTAAAATAATTTTTTTATATTTTATTGTATTTCAGTTAAAGTTCATTTTATTTAAAATAATGAAAATCTTTGGTTTTAGTAAACTATAATAATCCTGTCATTTACTGTAAGATAAAATGTTATTTTGAATTTTTAATCTAATTTTGAGCAAAAATGCCTTATTTATTTTCAGTTTGATCCAATTGGAAATCTGGAAAGATGACAGCCGATAACACGGAACCATCGGTCTCTGCAAATCAATATAAATATACAGTAAAAATTCCGAAATATAAAGTCAGAATGGCGAAGTATAAAGTAAAAATTGCGAGAAGTAAGAATTGTGAAGTATAAAGAAAAAATTTAAGTGTACAGTAAGAATTGCGAAATATAAAGTAAAAATTGAAATGTACAGTAAGAGTTCCGAAATATTAAATCAGAATTGCAATGGGGTGAAGATGAAACACCTTGAATAAGCCATGAGCGCTGTTTCTCTGTCCGACCCAGAACGACGTGTCTTCTGCGATCTCCATCAGAGGAACTGCAACCACTCGCTCGTAGATCCTGAAGAGAAATGTCCCAATGCCACAAAACAATATCAGCAACATTTCATGATTCTTGATAGCAGTTTCAACACCAAAGCAATGTGCTATTGAACACACTGTTTTTATTTGGGAAAGTAATATTATTAGTAATATTAATGCATTTTATTAACTAAGTGGCATGTAGTAAACAGCTCACTGCAAAAACTGATGTTCTTGCTCAGTATTTTTGTCTTGTTTTTCAGTAAAATAACATTGTTATATCAAGATGCATTTACTTAAGAAGCCAATGAAATTAGTATGAAAGCTTGTTTCTACCGTTAGGGGAAAAAACCTTAAAACGGTCATTGTAACTTTATATCTCGCAATTCTGACTTTTTTTCTCAGAATTGCGAGATATAAAGTAAAAAGTGCAAGATGTAAAGTAAGAATTCCGAAATATAAAGTCAGAATTGCGAAGTATAGAATTAAAATTGAAATGTACAGTAAGAATTCTGAAATATAAAGTCAGAATTGTGAAATATAAAGTAAAAATTTAAGTGTACAGTAAAAATTCCGAAATATAAAGTCAGAATGGCAAAGTATAAAGTAAAAATTGCGAGATGTAAAGTAAGAATTGCAAAATATAAAGTAAAAATATAAATATACAGTAAAAATTCTGAAATATAAAGTCAGAATGGCGAAGTATAAAGTAAAAATTGCGAGATGTAAAGTAAGAATTCCGAAATATAAAGTAAAAATATAAATATACAGTAAAAATTCTGAAATATAAAGTCAGAATGGCGAAGTATAAAGTAAAAATTGCGAGATGTAAAGTAAGAATTCCGAAATATAAAGTAAAAATATAAATATACAGTAAAAATTCCGAAATATAAAGTCAGAATGGCGAAGTATAAAGTAAAAATTGCGAGAAGTAAGAATTGTGAAGTATAAAGAAAAAATTTAAGTGTACAGTAAGAATTGCGAAATATAAAGTAAAAATTGAAATGTACAGTAAGAGTTCCGAAATATTAAATCAGAATTGCAAAGTATAAAGTAAAAATTAGCGAGATGTAAAGTAAGAATTCCGAAATATAAAGTCAGAATTGCGAAATATAAAGTAAACATTATGAGATGTAAAGTAAGAATTGTGAAATATAAAGTAAAAATTGTGAAAAATAAAGTGTTGTGAAATATGACGTAAGAATTGCAGAATATAAACTCAGAATTGCAAAAAAAAAAGTCTCAATTGTGAAATAAAAAGTTGCAATTATACCTTTTTTATTTGTATATTAAGTCTTCTTTCCTTCATACATTTTTGATAAATTTTTCAGAAAACAAGACTAAATATCTTAAGTTATTTTGTTCCTCAAGTAAATGTATCTTGATTTAAGAATTTTTACATATTTGTATTGGAGAAAAGATAAAAATACTGAGTAAAAATAATAATTTTTGCAGTGCTAAAATTAATTTATATCTTGTTTCCCAGTTAAAATATCAAAAAATTCTTAAAACAAATCATTTTTGACATGTTTTCATGTCTATTTTGTTTTACTGCACTGGTAGATTATATTAAAACAAGCTGAAAAGATCATCTGCCAGTACAGTAGGACAAAATACACTTACTGTATATTCGTCTTATACTATCTTATGCAGGGTAGCTTCTCAAGTACATTTATCAGGTTTCAAGATGTTGTTACTGGAAAACATGTCAAAAGGACTCATTAAGAAGTGGTTTTGCTGTGTATATTATTATGTTCTCCTGTAATTTCACATACTTATTGCAGTCGACATAGAGCGCCACATGTGAAGCGCTGATGGAGACGGAGACTTTGTGCCATTGGTTGTCGGCGAGCATGTAAGGGAAGATCTCTGTGTACGTCTGCTGGCCTTTAGTCTGGAAATGAAGACGCACTTCGCTCTTCTGTCCGCTGCTCTCCAGCTCCAGCAGCCTGTGAAAATACAGTCAGTATAATATCAATCATGAAGAAGGCAAGTAGCATATTTTTTTTGTAGTCACATTAAGGATTATTGTTAGATCAAACCACTAGCAGTTCAGTGTGTGAATTTGTGCTCCAGCCATGAATGATTCCTCAAGTCATGGTTTATATTGTGTTCTGGGTCAGTTTGAGTATTTGAGTTATTGAATATTTGAGTTGTTGGAAATACAGGTTAAACTAGGATGTTTTTCTGGAAAGTGTCTGATTTGTTTTCGTTTAGGGTCGTGAACATGCCTGCAAAGTTTCCACTCTCTGACGTGTCACTTCGCTCTTCTGTCCGCTGCTCTCCAGCTCCAGCAGCCTGTGGAAATACAGTCAGTATAATATCAATCATGAAGAAGGCAAGTAGCATATTTTTTTTGTAGTCACATTAAGGATTATTGTTAGATCAAACCACTAGCAGTTCAGTGTGTGAATTTGTGCTCCAGACATGAATGATTCCTCAAGTCATGGTTTATATTGTGTTCTGGGTCAGTTTGAGTATTTGAGTTATTGAATATTTGAGTTGTTGGAAATACAGGTTAAACTAGGATGTTTTTCTGGAAAGTGTCTGATTTGTTTTCGTTTAGGGTCGTGAACATGCCTGCAAAGTTTCCGCTCTTTGACGTGTTTTTACTGATTTTACTGTATTTTTGAACAAATAAATTTAGCCTTGGTGAGACTTCGAGACTATTCTTTTATTATTCCTATTTATTATTCCTATTCTATGTGTGTATGAAATTTCTATTGCGATTGTGATGTTAGCAGATCAATTTGACCTACAAATTTCATGATTAGCTGGACAAAACCAAAATTGCATGTATGTGTGTGTGTGTGTGTATATATATATATATATAGGGTATTTACATTTCTATTCATAATATTCACATCATGAGAAAACAAATGGAAAAAACTAAATCTAAATTTTTTATTTAAAAAAGTAAAAAAAAACTGATGTTTTAAAAATCTTATGTTCTTAGGTTTAAGGTTTTTTACTTTTTGGTAAATTGTATTGAATCCATTTAAAATAATGGGGTTTTTTTATTACAATTTGTGAAAAAAGTGTGAGATGTATTATTGTTAAAGTGTTTTTTGTTTGTTTTCAAAGTGATTTTTGGTAAATTGTATTAAATCCAATTAAAAAACATTTAAAAAGAAAAAAAATATCAAAATTTTACATTTTAAAAAATATATGTATTTACAATACTGTTCATAATACTTACAGTTTGTGAAAAACAAATGTTCAAAAATAGTTGTTAAAAAATGTTTCATTTCGCTTTTTTTGTAATATGTCAGAAGTATTAATGTTTAAGGTTTTTGTCTGATTTTCTTTTTTTATAGTGTGATTTGTTCCTGAATTGTACTGAATCCAGTTTGTGTCAATTTGACCCCCGAACAAAACGATCATAACCAGAATTACTACAGCACAAAAGAGATGTGCTGTTACTGTCCTACTCAAAATACCTTGGCAACCACACAGCAACACCCTAGCAACCACCCACCACTCCACGTCATTGTGGCGGTGAGTTTTGCACAGACAAGCACCACTCAAAATTGACTAAACATGTCATTGGCAGCAGAGGACACAGCAGGATCTCTGACACACGGCCAGACCTGCAAACAAAAGGAGCTGAGTTGCATATTTTCCAGCATCCGCAAATAAAGTGGGCTGAACACATGCCCCTGGGGCACATCACTGGCAGGAGGGCTTCACGCTCGTCTCTGACCACCTGAAATGCATCTAACTTTCCAAACGTCCTCCATAACAATATCCCTGGAGATTCCCATCACATGCTGACCATCACAGATTCTGACCACAGTCACTGCTGGAAGGTAAAATATGAGTGCGAGTCCTCGTAGTGAGACTGAGCTTTTGTTTTGGCACCGGGGGCGTCTGCCACCCCCATGGTTTTATTAATATTAAACAAAAACATAGTATTTTGTTCATGACATGACCAAAAGCTCATACCTTACTGGCCTGCTGGTTTTTTTTTTTTTAAACATCAGACTGCTTTTCATTTAAATACACTCTGCTCCGCATTTTTTGAATAAAATTCATGATTTCTATTCAAAACTATGCTATTTGCATTCACAATTAATATTCATGCTAATAGGCCTTATGTTTTATGGAGTTTTGTCATGTAGTGATTGTATAATATATATTTGTCATAAATTGACTATATATATATATATATATATATATAAAATTTAACAATATTTGATCAAATAAATGCAGCCTCGGTGAGCAGAAGAGACTTCATTGCAGTCAGACTAACAACTTATCTTTGATGGCTTCTTTGCTGCATATTTGTTTGTGCATGCAATACATCGACGTGTATTTATTGTCTTATATCATGTATTATATTGCAGTACTCAGTCTTTCTCATCACAGACTACAGACTCACAGCTGAAGCGAAAACATGGTTTCTGAGGATTGAGGCACAGAAAACACCGGCGGATATGAGCTAAAAGCCTCCTTCATATTGTAATTCCTCCGCGCCGCTCGTCTCTATTGAGATTTACTTGAAGGGGGAAGCGTTAATGGGGAAAGCTGCCAAAAATTCATCAGCCCGTCTGCCTGCGCAGACTACCAATTTTTATTTCCTCCTCCTCGCAAAAAATCACCACGCTCGAGAGCATTATTCGAGAGAAGCCAATTACAGATACGCAGGTTTTGATTTATCTACAAACAGGAACCTAATGAGTTCTTTTCCTCTCGCCTTGCACTTCTAGTCAGTGCCGTTCCAGCTGCAAAGAAAGGGAATATCAATACCGGCCCAATGTCAGAGCCACCTGCTTTATCGACCCGGCGTACAATGTAATTAACATCTTTCACAAGGCCCCTATTATGCGCTGGCTTCAATAAACACAGTTCAATGAGCACAATTACAGTAAGGACACGGCTGCTATAGTTCTGCCGGCGCGGCGTGATGTTGTTGTCTTCGCCGACGCGAATGTCGTCGTAAAAATGCTGTTCTTTTGAAATACAGGAGTCTTAAACACAGAAAACGCTTGACCTGCTGGTCCTCAAAACTTAATCTCGAGTCCAAATTGACGACAAGAGCCATTTTCTGTCAAGATTGAATGTGTCTGACTGAATCATGAGCTAAAAGATGTCAAATGGTAGAAACCGCAGAGTTACATTTCTTTTCACTCTCAGGAAAAGTAACATGCTCTCCAAAAATGTGTTTTAGTGAATCGGTTCCTTCTGATGAAATGATTCATTGATTCATTTGAGTCCCAGTGTGGCATTTTATATATTTTTTGTATTGAAAATGCATTTTAGACAACCATTTTTTAAATTATTTTATAAATGTTGCTGTTTATGTCGTGTTTTTGACTCAGTTTTATAATTGAATTTGTTTTATAGTTCATTGTAAATGTATGCATTCAAGTTTGATCTAATTGAGATTCACATTGTTTTTTGTGTCAAACTACAGTTTCAACAAATTAACTTCACCAACACTCATAAACAGCAGCATTTAACAAAAAAACGTATTGTTGAAGACGTAATGATGTCACAATGATGATGCAAAATTACACACAGGGACTCAAATTACTCAGTGAATCATTTTTGTTCCAGTGCATTTTACTGTATATGAATTGTCAAAAAAATGATTCACTGAAAAGATCCGAACTTCCCAAGAACTGGATTCCAAATTTTAATTCATTAGTGTGAATTTGAATCTATTTATTCGCCTATCTATCTATCTATCTATCTATCTATCTATCTATCTATCTATCTATCTATCTATCTATCTATCTATCTATCTATCTATCTATCTATCTATCTATCTATCTATCTATCTATCTATCTGTCTGTCTGTCTGTCCGTCCTTCCTTCCTTCCATCCATTAGTTCGTCCATCCATCCATCTATTCGTCTGTCTGTCCATCCATCCTTCCATCCATCTCTTCATCTGTCTGTCCATCCATCCATCCTTCCATCCTTCCTTCCTTCCATCCATCCATCCATCCATCCTTCCTTCCTTCCTTCCTTCCTTCCTTCCTTCCATCTGTTAGTTCCTCCATCCATCCATCCATCTATTCGTCTGTCTGTTCATCCATCCATCCATCTCTTCGTCTGTCTGTCTGTCCATCCTTCCATCCATCCTTCCATCCTTCCTTCCTTCCTTCCTTCCTTCCTTCCTTCCACCCAT